GAGCTGCGCGAATGTCGCTTGCGGCGCAGCAATAAGACGCACACAAGGTGTACACACGGCAATCTTGAGGACGCACTCTAGTAAACTCCGTACAAATATGTAGCTTAGAATGAGCCTCTTCATGGCGGTCACGAGGGAATAATCCCGTCTGCAAAAATGAAGTACGACGTTATTTATAAAGTATTATACGTTCGATTGGATTTTATTTATAAATCGTTTTCTCCTCAAGTAAGGGGGATCCGTTGTTAAAATGCGCGGCTAAATATACGGGATATAAATACCGTACATAAATCTTCCAGCAATCTTCTGAACAAATACAACATTACTTTTAAATTATTAAACTACTGGGATTAAAATATTGACGTTTCCTTTAGGCACACCTAATATTTGTTATTTTGTTCTGAAATTTTCTTGTCTTATCAAGTGCCGCGTGAACACGATTGTGAGGGTAATAAACTTGGCGATAACGTCTCGTAATATAATTTACAGCGTTGTAAAGTCTGTCATGTATACGTGTGTGCAATTAAATAGGTAGGGTATAAGCAATAAAATGTGGCAATTATAGAATGTGAGAGGAGAAAAGTACGTGTCGCACATATTAGTACTATGTGTAATTGCAACGATATAGAGATAATATAACTATAACACAAGATTAATGATATATACATATAAATTTAACGTGTTAATGGACAGACATACACACGCAAACACACACATGCTATATATATTATATACTGAGAATTTCTATCAGACATAACTACTTGTCTACGCCAATATGACAAATTTTTCACAATTATGTTCATTTATATTACATAAGAGCTACTTTACGTACACAAACAAAATTTGCCAGAGTTCCTCACTACCTTTATATGTAAGAGTCATCACCACCTTTCACTTCTATTCTCTTCGAGATTTACAATTGTTTTTATTTTAAAATAATAGGGATAATAGGGATCACCTTTTACCGCAACTGCTGCAGTATATTGAAAACGTCCAATACTTTCAACTTTTTCAAAAAATTGAAATCCTTCTAGACAAAAAGAATTAATTAAAGAATAAAGTGTTTCATAAATTTAAGAAATTTAATAATACAAAATAAAATATCTTTTATTCTTGAAATTTTAATTTGAATAATTATCAAGATATTTAAAAGAAGATATTAAGAAAGTATAAAATGTTGGTCTTTATAATTGTTCGCGTTTTAAATTTGCTGGCAAATTTACACTATTAGTGGATTATATTAAAAAATTAACGGAGGGTATTAAATTTGAAGCATCCTGTACGAGTGTAGCAATTCTCTTTTTAACCAACAGCTAAGCTAGATTGTAGGTGATGCGGAGAAATGCGATATATGCGCAAAAGTCGGATTTTTATTGAATAATAGCAATTACCTGACTTTCTATACTTCATCATATACGTTGCATCGATTATACGCAATAATGTACCATATACAGCCGTATAAAACCGTTTAATACGCATATGATGAAGCGGAAACCAAAGCGACGATCGCAGCAACGTTTACATTTACCATGTAGGCAAACATGCGGTCGCTTCAATCCATCCATTATCCTTGAGGAAAAAAAAAAGAGCGCGGCCACGTTATAACGCAATATGCTCACGCGAGAAGATTAGGCTTTTTGCCGTCGACCTCTCCCTTTCCTTCCCTCCCGCCCCCCTCACCTCCCCAGTTTAATTCGTCCGCGATACTTTTGTTTTACGTTCGAGATAATCCCCGATTAAAGGAATACCGCACATGAACCGTTAACGCCCGACAAAAGTGTAGCGTAAATTATCTTATATGGCCTGTTAGAATGTCGGAACTGTTACCGCCAGGTATATACGAGGTCTCGTTGTAATTAATTTAATCATTATTAGCACGTATCTCCGATAGAACACGGCGAAAAAATGACGTATTATCGCATAGTTCCGTATTCAGTTATAGTCCGTTCTGTTGTTACTTTATTGTCGCCTGTCATGTATTTCTGTATATTCTGGAGATATTGCCAATTAGCACTAATTTAGACATTTGCGGTTTGCGAGGATAAAAATAATAAAGTATACGCGTATAATGTGGTGAAAACATTCATTTTGTTAGGAAGGTTCAAATGTGCAGCTTTAAAGCCGTTAATATTAATAAAATAGCGAGAAGTAGACACACGCGCATTTATTATCCTTGAATTTAAATTAATCAGAACGCTATCACACGTTTATATAAATCGTATTTTTGTAGCACTCAATTTGAACATATGATGATATTGAACATATTTGTGATATACCATTTTTTCAATGATACAGAACTTTCAATGATACGCAACTTTCTATTCGTCTAGATATTTGTACGTGATAATTTAATAATATTTTTAATAATTATTTTCGCCGACGAAAATTTCTGTGATATTTCTGTCTTGGAATATTATACTTATATTTCCTTAAATTTATGAAACTTCATTCTCAATTGGTTTCTTTCGGAAAAAGACGAGATCAAGAAACGATATGTATATCGTGGCGATTAATGTTATCGGTATGCATTAAGAAAAGCAGCCATTCAATCTTGATGGAAAATAGAGCGCTCCTTTTTGCAGATTGTAGCTCTAGGCGACAAGAAGAGAATTTCGCAAGAGTAGTTTAATTTTACATACTGTTAGGCGATAAAACGTGGAGAGAGAGAGAGCGAAGGTCTATGGCAGACTTTGTTTTGTACGTATTTTGTAGGAGTGAACGGCTACGTATCGTCAATCAATTAATGTGATTATCCGCGATTGTGAGCGCTTGACCGTTGCAAAAAATATAGCGAAGAAAAGGAGCACATTTCTTCTATACCATTATTATTAATAAATATAAAAATTAAAGAAATTGTGCATATCTAATATATAATAATTTTTTCTACGTAAAAATTATTGTTTAATAATAATTAACAGAAGACTTTTTATCAATGTATATATAAATTTTTTTCCGCTTTTTTCATATAATGTGGTTTTTATTGCTGTATATAAATCCCCTTTTCTTATATCATGTGATTTAATCTGTATGATTATTTAAATTTGATGAATTTTAATATAACTACATTTAGTTTCTTACTACTAATTTGTGATTGATGTCGATGACTGATCAAAAATAAAGTAACCGCTTAAAAAGCAAAATATTCTCTTTCATAGCTTGGAGCGATTGAAGGTTTCGTAACTGTGATTTATTTTTGTAAGTACTTCATTGGAAACGAGAAACGAATCTCGCGACGCGCTGCGACACTGATTAATAATCCATCTAGAAGCGGTCGTCCTTCAATTGCATGTGCGAGTTTTCGATTACATGCTCCGTTTGTTTCAAAGAGCAGACTTTTTCATCGAAAAGATTTACATTTATAAGTTTTACATTTTACGATTCTCTCTTTTATTATTTTGTTATCATTATATTCTGTGTAATATATTATTACAAAATTAAATCTTTTCAATTTTGAATTAGATATACTAGAACTAACGGTATTTAATTCCCATATTTAAATCGTGTAATCGAAATTTCTAATTTCTGCGATGCCTGGGAAAGTTCAAGTAAAATCGTTACGTCGAAGTAATTAACTCTGAAATCGATAGCGTTTTTCAATTTGCAATGACGGAAAAATTAAATTATCAATTTGAAAGCAATTCGATTTTAAGTATTAGCTATGTGTATAATAAACTAATTGATTTTCTGCATTCAGTACATATATGTTTTATTTATACTAAAATAATTAAAGAAATTATTAAAATGAATCAACGCATGATTTTATTTTTGAAAAATAAAATATATTTTTATATACATATATTTTAATAGTTGGCTGTTGAGATTAATTTGACGATAATTTGATTGATAAAAATTATTCAAGGTTAAATAGGGTAAATACGTTAATTTTTCAATTTTTGGAGTATTTTTCAAAGCAGTTTTTTTTATATTCTAAATTTTTTACTTACTTTTTTATGAGAAATTACGGTTTTCTCTGTATTGCGAGTTCGCACGAAATCATTTTATATATGTTTTGCCATTTATTTTGATTTGCCAACTTATGTACAGTTAATTATATATTTTATAGTCAAATATTATTTGGTCCACAAATATTTCTTGTCTCATTTTGCCGCTTAATTTGCACTTTGCTATTTATTTCATCACTATATTTATGAATCGAAGAACTTAGAGATACATTTCTCATCTAATTTTACAGATTAGTCGTATAATCGAGGAGAAGAATAATGACGGAGGTCATGTCCCGCGTAATTCTACCCGCCACAATTTGGTTCTCCGTTTCTCATCTCACCGACTGATTAATCACCGAGTCAGGTTGCTCTTTATAGCCGCGCGAGCATTTTCGCGGCGCGCCTCACTACTTCGCCTGAAATTTATTTGTTTCACACTCGAGCGGGCGGGTGTGCCGTTCCGCGGAATGACACATAAATCAAGCCTTCGCCGAGCCCGTGTGGAGCCCGCCGTCGCTGCCGCGCCCCGCCGCGCCGCCGCTCTTCTTTTACCCTCATTCCCTCGTTCTTTCGAGAGAACTCGCGGCGCTCTCACAGCGCGGATCAGCAACGCCAATCTCAGCAACGGATCCGGAACAGGCGAGAGTTGTCACGGACATTTCGGGAGGTGACATTTCGCAATTCCGTGGAGCGTAAAAAGTTGAGAGGTGCGAAAAGATACACGCGTTTGCGAAGTTTTTGGAGAAAACGTCTTCTTCTTTTTTTTCCGTTGACATCTGGTGAAGTCATGAAATGTATACAGAAGGCTATCTCCGATTTCGCGATATAATTCTGAGTAAGAAATAATTACAGAATAATCCATTAATTTATAAATATACTGAAAGGATTAAAACATTTATAACTAGAAAACAATTTATACGCGTATTATATATATGTATGTAACAAATAAGAATCATGGATCATTTACATTTATTGAACATAATAATTAATTAAATTATAAAATTAATTAATTATAAATTAATATATAAAAATGATTAAATGTTTATATTCTAATATCATTATAATAATCGTTAAAAGTATTATAACTTTGGGAGTCTCTTATATTATTAACGAACGCGACACTCAGTCATAACAGGTAATTGCAACTGTAATAATAAGAGATTGGCACTTATTTTAGGAAATAGAATTGATAGTTCATTATCCGAAATAATCTCGGAAGGGATATAATAACAAGGTACGAATAAATTTATAATAAGACATGATTAGATCTTGGATCAGGAATACGCATGCTCTTACTTAAGAATGTTGCTAGACTGATCGCTCGAGCTCCATGCTCTGTAATTAATCCGGTGCCGCGGATTAATCGATTATACGCGTTCTTTCTTCCTTTTTTTGAATTGATTTATATCTTTGATCGTAAAATCATTTTTATTAATTGGTTGACACTGATTGATTGGCGTTTTTGATTGAACTAAAAGAATTAAGCTTGTTGTTAGTCAAATTAAAGTTGAACTAAATTAAAAACTCAAATTTTTGACTGTTAGAAAGAGAGAGAAAGGATGGAAGGCACAAAGGGAAGGAAGGAAGGAAGGAGAGGGACATGGAGAGAGGGAGAGAGAGAAAAAGGGAGAAGAAAGAGAAAGAATTTTTTTCTGATATTGAATTGTACGTTGACAGTTTTGCGTTTTGATAATTTGCGTTGCAAGACTCGATTAGTTTGTGACGAGCAAAGCTTGATTAATTTGTCGTTTTCCGTTGTTAATTCAATAATTAACAAACTAACATTCTATGTATGCATTGACATTAATTGATTAGTATGAAACTATCCAGTCATAGCAAAGCAGCGTATAATCAAAGAACAAAAGTTACTTCCGTGCAAAATATTTTCTATCTTTATAGATAAAATTAATCAGACGATCAAATAATGATTAAAAAATTATATTAATGCTTGTTGCAAAAGAATACAAATATCATATAAATATTACAAACCAAATTATCCGTTGAAGAAAGGAAGAATTTAATATGACATTGATTTCAAGATTTAATGAAAAGTTACGTTCATACTTATCATCCGCCTCTCACAGTTTACGTCAAAATTGTGTCGAATCTCATGACAAGATGCGAACCGATCCGATCGGCCTTTCGTGCCCGCGATTGCATACAATGTGTAACACAAAGTTACACCGTGACATTTCGTTAGCAGGCACGTTACTTGCGGCGACGTGTCGGACTTGTTTTATCCGCACGGTCAATAATTACCGAGCACCGACGTTTACTGCCGGCCGATACCTGCTGCTCTGTTCTAGACTATATCTCAACATTGAACGACGCTAATGGCCCTCTAATGCGGGTCCGGGACACGCTTCTCGCGCGAAACGTAAATCTTCTCGCGCGTCTCTTTTTCTTTCTCCGTGTTTTGTTTGCCGAGGCCGCGTTACGAGCAGTGATTAGATTATTCTAACCGGTTACAGATTATTAGACCGGTAATATTAAACCGGTGTTTTCAAGTTTAATGGCACGACATGAGGAGCTAATTTGAAATCGTAAAAAAATTAGTTAATCTATCAATTTTTCTTTTCTCTTGAATTTTACCAAATATTCAAATATTTTCCATTTAAAAGAGACAATAATCTTTTCATGTAAATTTTACACAATTCTTATTGTTATAATTATATTAATATAAATTAAAAATATAATTATAATAACATGATATATTAAATAAATAATTAAATTTGACATTATATTTGACACTAAATATGTTACGTAAGTATATTACATAGACAAATATTTTTTTTGTATTTATTATTTTGTTTTTGTATAGTATAGATTTAATATTTAATTTGTATTATTGTTTTCTAATATTTTATAATTTTATTTGTATTGCTTCAACTTTTGTCATTTTTAGCATAAATTCGTAGCTTGATTAAAAACGTTCGTGATATTCAATGCGTAAAAGAGTAACTAAATGAAGACTGCATATCCTCGCGAAAGAGATAATTCGTGGGAACCAGAGCGTCTAGTTATGGACCAGGGGGTTGGGCAATATCTTTGCAAACTGGTTTACTCGGCGTATTACATGTGATATTTATTGCGTCCGATCGGTGAAATTGTCGACAGCGAACGTACGATCGTCCCTGGTCCTGTAAGGACGCAAACGCGTGTAATAAAAAAAAATGGCCAGTGATTTACTTATTCCCGGCGAATCATATTACGATCTCTCGATATCGCGTTGCTCGCTTTTTAATCCTGTTATTGCCGAGATTCCTGACGGCCGGCAACTTGCACCTGTTCCGGGCCACTTACGGCGACGTAACGTCGCGAAGAAAATTTCCCGATCGAGACTACATTAATACTGACGTGAAGCATTAACGTTTTAATATTAACGCTAACGATCGATGACGCTCATCTGTTCATTAGGCGGAGAGAGAAATCCGACGCGGATTCATACATTGGAAATTTATTTCAGAAAAAGTACATGAGATATACAAATAAAATTTTTTACACTTTTATACACTTGAATTGAAATATACACAAGTGATCAATGAGTAAAATATTTGTTTACACTACTTTGCAGACGCTCGAAAGCGAACCGCGTTAAATTCGATGTCCGTCAATTATTAACAATGACAGCTACCGTAAGCTGTCATAAATCACGTAATAATTAAATATACGCTGAAATACGATGAACGGAAAATCAAGTAATTGCTTCCGCCAAGCCGCCAAGTTATTTATCGGTTCGCAAATATCTCCAGCTTGACGTTTATCTGATAGACAATTATTCGAGCGATCGGTAACAATAATTGATTGCGGTTTTAATGTGGACGCAGTTGCGCAAGCGATCGAACATGATATCTCACTCGACGCATGCGAAATTAATTAGCAATTTGCTTTAATAATCTTTGTAAGAATAACGAGATATCGTCTCGTTAGAAGAAAAATAATGTTAAATTGAAAACAATGTCAATATAGATATTAACAATGGATATTAATATTAATTTAACAATAATGCTAATTTACTGAATATGCTGATCTTCAATTAGATTTAAAAATCTGTCTGCGGCATTTGATCTCTACAAAGTCGACTGTTTTATTTTTCAAATCGCGATCTAACTGATAAAGCTCCAGTTTTTTCCCAATGTTCTTGATACACTTTAAAGAGAACTTTGCAATTAAATGATGAAATATAGCGCGATGTGTTTTCTTTCATTTTTGTATACAAGGATATGAAAATTTACAATAATTTTTTTATTTTAATTTTGATTAATTTAAATTATAACATTTTTAATAAAATTTTTGAGACATTAAAGAATACCAAAAAATATCAAATTTTCAAAAAACTCTTCAAAATTTATGAGAACTTTGAAAATGTTTATCCAAGAAACGAAAAATCTCCGGCATTTGTTCATTCCTGCTTTTATTATTTTAAATGTTAAAAGGAATCGTCGAAATTTTTCTTAAAACATATTAGGAATTTTAGATATCGCGAAAAAGTTCTACTAAAATTCTGAAAACGAACATTAAATCCTATATAAGAAACATATATGTTTGTTTTCATGTCAAAATGTGCCACTGTTGGCAATAATCATTACTCATTGGCGTACATAACAACCGTCAATAATTTAATTATCGGTGATGCTTCCCAAGGCCACGCCTTGCAATTTTGTTCGACGAAGTGAAATTTAATTGATCGTAAATGCAGGGGCGTTGCAACCGCAGCGCGGATACATCGATCATACAATGTGTTTTAAAACTATCGTTTCTGTCTTCAACTTCAGATTTCGTATTTGATCTGAATTCCTTTTATTCTATAACGTATTTTCTCACTTTCATACAAGTTTCAATATAACGATAAGATTTATTTAAAATGTGAAAACAAATCAAATATTTTTCAATTTAATCAAAGATTAACTCGATACTTTTGTATCAGAAGCATTCTGGAATCCCACTTTGCCACAAAAACCGTACAAATCTGCATCCTAGAATTTAAATTGCTTCGACGACATCGCGCGGCATCGCGTCGCCTGTATTCGACTTGTATTTGTTAGAAGAGAGTTTGAAAATATACGGACAATGCTTTCGCCTTCAGCGATTCGATTGCGCATAAGCCGTATACGTATTTGTGCACGCATATTTCCATACCGTTAACTTCGCGAGTGTAGGCGGTGCTCGAACGTAACACCGTTTCCATTGAGAGACAGTATGTCGGGTATTTAGAACCCATTTGTGTCACCGGCACCGTAGATCGGGAAGTCTCGTAAAACAAGTAGTCCGCCGCGCACACCTACAACGCGCATTACATTGCGCAAAGCTAATGGATCGAGTCTATTCGTGCGATCGCTGAATGACTTCGATCGCTCGAGTTCCACGCGGCTTTCGTCATGGCTTTGTTACACTTGGAGAAAGTCGTCTCGTCACTCTTGTAACGTCCCCGCGCGGTGACGATGCGACGCGCGGCGACGAGATCTCGATATCACTTTTAAACGAGCCAGCGAAATACTGCATAACTCATATTACGAGATACAAGGATAGTGGGAATTTTACTGCGACGAACGCATAACAATTTTCTATATTTTATTTTTTACTGTAAGCTCGTTTCATGTAACATATACAATAGCGTTTTCTACTGGGAAAACTATAGTGCAACACTGGCGCACACTGAGTGTAATATATTTTTTTCTTGTGAAAATTAGAGTTCATATATTTTCAATGTTTAATGTTCCACTAACAAAACTAGTACAAAAAATTGCACTGAGTTTAACTTTTGCTTCACCGTCTTTAGAAATGGTGGAAGACCCAGTTCACCCAGTTAATTGAAATTGAAGTTGTTTGTAATTTAAGGTCTGAATATTACATTATTTTAATAATCGATACTGTTTTTAGTTTTGACGTGTCTAATAATAACATTAATGTTTTGACATTTAAAAGAATTTAAAAATTGTAAAAACTAAATAATAAAATCAGAATAATATTGCACAATAAGCAACTTAAAATTTGTGTTATAGTTATTTTTGCTATTATATGAAGCTATAATGGAGTTATAATATATGGTGTTTCACTGAACCGCACTAAACCTGTACTATTATTACATTTGTGCAATTTTCATCGAAACCTGACATGGCGTTAGTGCTGCACCAGTTTTCCCAGTAGAAAACGCTATTCGAATTAATTAGAGAGATTGGAACTCATTTTTCTTTGTGAAAAATCGAATATTTGATACAAATCTATTTCTTCACTTGCTAGATGTTTCCGGGAAACCATGTCGGCTAATATGCGGCCTTGATACTTTTTGCGGCGTACAGCGCGTTGTTTACAAAAGGTCGCCGCGCTATCACTCATACGCCGACACTTGACTGATCAAGTAGCGAGATAAATGAGTCGAGACGCTTTATGTACTTATTCTCCCTCGAAAGACGATTGTATCTCATGATAATTACAATAAGCAATTATTCATCGTATCTTAACTATTTCAAACGGTAGTGCCGTAAGTGTTGTGCGAAACGACTTTTATTGATGTTCGCGCGCGATCGTAATTACCAGCAAGTGTTTTTCGAGTGCATCTTGAAGAGGAGCGTGAAGAGGAGAATCTATAAGAAGAAGGTCTAACAACCTGGGAACCCAGAGGCCTGATAATCTGAAAGGAGGAGGAGTTCCAGAAGAGGCATCGGGTGCCGGTGAAGCAATCTTGCGGTAAATATTATTTCTTGCGTAAAATTAATTTTTAATCTTTCGCTTATGTGGATCATTTTGATTAGTTAAAAATAAGTACTAAAATAATTTAAAATTTTATAAATTTATTAAATTTACAAAAATAACTTTATGAAGTTGAGATAGATTTTTTTCGGAAATTGTATAATTATTTTTATAAATATCTAAATGAAAAAGAGGCAAATGAAAAAGTTCAATTTTTAACATCGTGATCGAGTCTGCTTTTATCAAACTTGTATATACAATAATTTTAATTCGAATAAAAATCACGTTAATTCTCTCATGCGTATTATGCTATTTATACACGGTTTTTTCAGGCAATCAATATAATTTGTTCGAGTTAGTATTCTCGTTTGATTAACTACTTGTTGTCGCGAAGAAATGCGGTGTAATTGACACGCGGAAGTAAGGATGGAGCATATATATTATCTGTCGGCAATGATAAGCCGACGATGATAGCCGGCAGCAGAAGGAGTTTCTCTCCTTTATCGATCCGTGGGTGAAATGGAGCCAGAATTTATATGGTCAGGCTCAACGAAAGGTAGGTTCAATCTGCCCCGAAGAATCTACATATATTCTCTATACCGCAGAATAATAAGGTCTACACGTCTACACACCGTGGATGATTAATAATACATATCTTATTAGTTACAATATATGTATATGAGTTACAAAAGCAAATTTAATATATCTTTTCGTATACGTGCAATTGCACGGATCAGAAACGATATAATGCTGTCGATGTAAAGTCTTCTCGTTCTCAAACTATAATCTTGATCATAAATTATTATTAGCCTTTATTATAATTTTGATTTGCGCAATCCTTATATCAGTGATCGTAAATTAAGGATTCCTGCTAAGGCTCTCATAGATCGCATATCGTATCCGCTTTGTTTGTAATAAATAAACGGATTAAATAAAATGAATGCATTGTTCAATAAATGCATTGAATGCAAAACACTGCATTATAGAAGAAAAACACCATTTTTATTGGCAAACAATGCAAAAGAAATATAAATTAATGTAAAAATAAATATAAAAAAGAGCCAACAATTCGACATGGTTGCATAGTTCTGTGATGTCTTTGAAATAATGATTATCTAAATAACGAAGAGCTTTTATGAAAATTATTAAATACATTCTCTCTAACATATTAATAATTATAATTGTGTTTCTAAATAAATTCTTTGTATGTATTGTATCCGTTTATGTCAAAATTTTTCGAATATATATGTATGTACCGTTTGTAAACCATACGAGTAATCAAATTTTCGGATATTTTATAGTAGATATTTATATTTTCGTAAGTTTAGAAATGTATGTGTCTTTTTTTGTACTAATAAAAATAACCGGTTCCTTCTGCAGATTAGTGGTTAATTCAATGATCCACAGAATAGAAGATCTTGTACTCTTACAATGGTGTGTTGTCTCTGACAATTTCTGTTTGTCACGTACCAATTGATTTTCTTATACAATGCTGTTTCGCTACTACTTATCGGCAATTTCGATCTGTGCCACCTATATAGAGATCGACTGGTTCGACCGGTCTTATTACGATCTAGTCTTCGTGACACCGAATGTGCCGATTTACCTGCGAGGCAGATTACCGCTACCGTGGTGTAGATCATTGATTGCTCCGACGATCTTAATTTCGCTTCTATTTCATCTCATCTTTGAAAGCAAGTGCAACCGTACAATTTTGTATCCTAATAACCTCAAACCCCGCGTGCGCTCGAGGGTTTTCCTACATAACAATTTTAGATGCACCGACATGTAAATGATAGCCGTTGGAACTCCCATTTCCTCGCGTGGGTGTCTCGATCCACTTGTAGACGATGCTTCCTTAATGAAAATTTCACCGTGCTGTGTAACAGATTTCTAAATCCCGAGTTTAAGAAAAAAAATCGATAAATACATTAATTAATCAACATTAAGTTAATAACGCGTACAGTGTTTTGAAGAATCGTAATTTACTGTAAGGAACATCGTGGAATACATTAAACCTAATTGCAGAAATTAGCAAAATGTAATACAAGTACTCTCTAAATTTTCTGGAGTGAATCTCATTCCAGAAAATTTAGAGAGTATGCTCAAAATAAGTTTATTAAAACAAACAATTTGATATTAATTTTAATTTAAACAACAATAACATTATAGAAACACATAATGTACGTTTTATCTCAAAGGATGTTTTTCTTAAGTCCATGGCACATAGAAAAACGTATAAGGCAGTAAGACATAAGCAGTAGGCGTATCGACCAATCACAATAGAGAACGTAAGATTATTGCCTTACTACGTTTTCTGTTGTGATTAGCCGATTCGCTTCTTGCTTACGTCTTAGTACCTTAAGTTTTTCTATGTGCCGCGGGCTTTGCAGAAAAAAACGGCGTTAAACCAGCCGTGGAATCCGCGGTTTAAAAGGGCATTCGATTCCGGGATATCCCGTGCAGATCATCTGGTAGGCATTAATCGAAAAGCGTTTAACGCTCCGCGGGGGGAACAATACCGTTCGCTCGTGACGCAAACTCTTAAATAGACGGGCGAGCAAACTCTCCGGCAAAATGCAATTCCGTCTCTCGAACAAGCGCTCTTTACACGATCGCTTACTCGACTCGTTTTACGTAACGTTTACAATTTAACTGGCCGTGCGCGCGAGAAAAATCGTTTTCGTGCGCGCGCGGGGGAATCCCCTTCTCGTCGTTTCTCTCTCGTTCACGGGTGCGAGCGAGCCCGTAGGAGGAAGTCGAACGATTCCGACTCGCAATCGCTCGGGGTTAAGTGTAGTGCCGTCCAGATACGTTTTACGTTACTCCTCTCCCTCCCCGCCAATTAAGTGTATTTAGCAACCGCGATTGCGGTCGGTGTCGTTATCGCGGTTACAACGCGACTGTCAATTGACTTCAATTATATGATTATGCAGACGTTACACGCGCAGGTGGACCTCTCCTGTGTATCCCGCATCTACTATCCGCTAAAACGGCACATTCGCGAAGCATTATAGGAACCGACTGTTCTCGTTCGTAATATCATCTCGAGTAACTCAATTATGAATATGTAAATTGACAGTGAGCTGTAAATCTTATATGAATATGCAAATTGATGATTAGAGCGCAGCGATGGTGGCTAATATAGTAATATTCTCACAGTACACGCACGTGTTCTTTTTTGCTTGCGAACAATTATCTTCAGCGCTCTCCTTTCTCTCTTCGAAAATAAATAAATATAATAGTATTATAAGTAAAATTATTAATTAAAATTAGAACTGTTATTTCCGATTTAAAACTAGAAATTTTGGCACAGATCCTCAAAGATATTTGCAAACATTGATAGTTTATAATATTTATTGTATTTATTAATGAATATTAATAAATTTATTGGTGAATAATAAATTCAATGAAAAACTGAATAATCAAGCAAGTTTTATTGGAATCTTATAAAAATATTTCCTACTACAAAACGAGATACAAAGTACTTTTAAATACTCTGTATGTACTATGTAAAACATTAATAATTTATAATATTTATTAAATTTATTAATGACTATTAATGAATTTATTAATAAATAAAAAATTCGTTGAAAAATTGCATAATCAAATAAGTATCACGCAGTTTCTGTGTATTTTTTAATAAGTGGTCGGAAAAGTACCGAACAATAAAAATAAATAAATATAAATACGAAATAAAATATTTTTATACGTGATTTTATTTCTAAAAGAAATCAATTGCAAAAAAATCACTTGAAATACGCATACCTGAGTACATTTCCATTCAACCCGGATCTCACCGCGTGCACATGTGTGTGTTTATGCGTATATATATGTATGTCCTTTATTATCGCGAAATTAATTGATGTAATATTAAAATTGTTCCGTTTCTTCCACGTGTTCCACATTCGCCGGAGAGTTATGCGTTTACACCGAAAACCCTTGCGAGTCTTCCGTGAGTACTGCTAATTAGTGGAACGGACGGATTAAAAAAAAAAGCATGGAAGCGGTCGGTCGGGTGTATTTTCTCCTTCTCGGCCATCGAGTTCAGGAGGTCAGTCGCTGTACCCGAAGGCGCGATGGACCTCTATCCGGTGTTTATCTTCCGTATCGCGCCGCAGGATCGTAACGCACCGTGTCGGTATAACCAGTTCTAACGGACGTTATCTGATACTTCGGTCGGTCCAAACAGGTAGTCTTCAAATGCCGGTGCCGATTTGCAAACTCGCATAGGTCATGGATACACGAGGTCGAAAATATAATTTGTCGCTGACAAATATATAAATCAAAATAAGCAGATAAATTATCTGTTTCAAGTCAAGGCAGAATGCCACGGAAACCCGGATAAACGGTAAAGATGACAAAATAAATTAACGTACAATTTTTATAAAATTGCTCTAATAATGTAGAAGTTAAAGGAATATTTAAAAACACATCTAAGAAATCAAAGTATTTTTTGATATTTAGGATTTGTTTTTTTTTATTCTTTTTTAAGTTTGTAACTTTCATTTAATGCTAAAACAATTCGATTTAACCTCTGTCGCGTAAATGTAAATCTATTTAAAAAATTTTAAGTTTGAAAATAAAATTCTATTACTTATATATACTTATTATATATAAAAAATATAAAACAATTAATAAAACAATTAATATACATTAATCTAATATTAATGTATGTATGTATGTAACTTTTTTTTTTAGATTTTAGAAACTAGATAATCTTTTAACGGTAAGTTAACTCTACTCTTACTTTAAGCTATGGTAACTAAATCACTTTCTTATATAATTTATATATAATTTTTTTTCTCATCGTGACGACTTCATATGTATATAGTATTCTTTTGTTACGTAATCGCGGAAGTGCATTCTTGGACGTTATTGATACTTTCGCGCAAGTGCATATAATTGGAATGGGGCCAGTTGTTTCCGGAAAGCAACAATCCCCGTGTTTTCCATTAGACCAAGCCGGGCAAGAGAAAGCTCGAGCGCGGATTCGCGTATATGCGGATCGCCGATCGGATTTCTTTCTTGAAGTTTCGTAAAAGGAGCTCTTTCATCTTAAGTGTATTGCGATATAATATTTCAAATTAATAAGTGTTTGCTTAACGTACTCCTCAAACATTGAGTGCATTTTAGCGTCGCATTTTCTACATGTAGGTATCTTTAGTGCAACGTATGGTATTTAATAGAATAATGATGTGAAAGGAGCTGTTAATTATACCTGTTATTGCGAAAACTGGATGTTTTTCATCTCTTTGTAAAGTAACAGATACATTTTACCGTAGGGAAGTATTTATTAATAAATATTAGTTCTCGTTTCCGTGTTTATTTTTAAATATAATTAGGCGCGTTTAAGTGCAAATTAAAAATTTAGGAATATTAAAATTATTGCACATTTTTGATAGAGATTACATATTTATAAATTGAAATCACATATATTTCTCGTAGTATTTCAGATTGTATTTATTTTGTTTATAAAAATTAATTTTTATTGCGTCTTTTAGAATGAATTTGAAAGGAAGATCATAAGATTGAAGCGTTTGCAATCAACTGTAGCTCCGAGATATCGATATAAAATGAGCGAGAAATTATATTAAATCACAAATTTGTCTATGTCGGGGATTGCCGGTAAACTCGTTTCTCAAACAATTTTATGTAACTGTTAAGGCAACTTTTGACCCAGGGTCAGCGGTCCGTCAACTTGAGGCTCATATACACGATAAAATGTCTAATGAGCCATGAGCTTAATTAACGATGCGTCGAGGATGACTCGGCTCTAAGAACCCACTTGGGAGAGCATAATGCCTTGATAGCTTTGTCGTGTCTTTGCTAAGCGAGCAGGTTCAAGATCTTCTTTACGACTACATATGTTCCCTGAAGATGCCATTTCTCCCGATCAGATTAGGTGAATGGAGAAACGGAGAGAATCGCGCGGCTGATATAATGGCCTATAGTGATGTACAGAAGGGGAGGTACGGCGAGAATGAAGAATGGGAAGCGCATCGTTGAATGGACATGGGACATTCATATGACATTCGTAATTGCTGAGCAGCTATTGATCAATTGCGCGAAAAGAGATATTCATTGTCTTTCGTTACAAAATATAATGAAAAACAAAAAACTTCGACGTTTCAATAAGAGGCTAATCATGGTACTTTCATATAGAACTTTACAAAAATATTGAAACCAGATTCGGCGATTACAAATCTATAAAAATACAATATTTACTTTATGATGTACGATACATAATTTCTCACTGTAAATTGAAGAAAGACGAATTTTTTTGTATCAATAATTCTCTTCGTCGCTCTTTCTCATAATTTCTTAATTTTCAATACAAAATATTAAATAGTTAATTGAATAATTAAAACACTATTAACGTGAGCTTTCATTCACACATTCAATTTTACTTCACTATTCATCGTGATACGTATCTTTTTTTTTAAATTTTTTTTCTTTAACTTAATTTCTAGTATAGATCAAAAACATTTACCTCGCGCTGCTTATTCTCATTTCCATTGATCCTCCGATTCGATCACGATGTCCATGATCCACTACAGGCGTACGCTTGACCTTGTACGTGCCGTACGCGCGCGATTCTGCGGATCTGTTATTTCGCATCTCGCGCGCATCATCCCCGCTCGCAGCATCCACGCTTCTCCCAGGATTATTTCCGTAATCTGATATGCTCCGAGAGCTACAAACCATCACGTGCCGGTGATTTGCGATTATTGTGCGCATACCATAAGGTCCAGTCCAACGAGCAAACAGCTCGGCCCGTTTCTACGCGTATCGCAGCGTGAACAGAGGAAGTATCATCCGAATCGCGCGCGGCAACCGCGTGGATGTAATTTTAATCAGCTTTGAAAAAAACGCGAGTCGTATATAATAAGTTTCAGATTATGAGATTGTTAGAAACGCAAATTGGAAACACGTTATTCCGCGAAAAAGTGTACACCGTGCCGTGTGCTGCGGGCACTTATACGTTAGCTAGAGGGTTCGCAGAAGCGCGCGTTTACGTGAAATTGCAAATTGATACTTTGATAACGTTAATGTAAGAGGTAATATTTCACGTGTGAGCGCGCGCGTGTGTACACGACTTAATAAGCATTACACAGTATTAATGGCAAAAGTCGCCGCGGTGTGCATCCCACCGCAGGACACTCCTGGAAAAATTATGACGTATTGCCGCGAGAGAGTCATTCACTCGCGCTTGAATATTAACGAGCGATTTGTGTCGCGCGGCAGGATTTACGATAATTCCGCCGGCACCGGGAGAGAGAAACACCGTCGCGGCGGCGATTTATCGTCATTGTCCGCATGTTCTGCCCGCGATGCACCGTTATATTTCGTACGTGCGTCGTGCGATTGCCCCTTACCCTAAACACGAGGTAAATACCGCAGGTGTATGCGTACCTGTGAGCGCAAGGTATTGCCGAAGCAGCACAGCATACTTTCAGCGAGGAAAATTTGATTTTTCAATGAGGATAAATAGCTGAGTAAGCAACACTAACAATGAGTTTTCGAGTTTAGAAAGTTATCGAAGCGTTTCATCTTTATTATCTTTATTTTTTTTATTATTTATTGAACAGAGATGATTCGATCTGTCCAACTAAATGTAACTGTACAATATATGAATACTTTTTTGTATATTTTTTTTGTATTTCATGTATTTAATATGCTTGGCATACACAGTCAACATACGCATGTATTAAACATATTTTCCTATCAACATATATTTTGTAAATTATTATAAATATATTACTGTATCGAATATATACATATCGGCATTATATAAACATTCGGCATAATTATAAACTTGATTTTATACATATAAAAAATATCTTAAAATATATAAAAAAAATGGATTATTTCCATTCCATCAAATAATTTTATCATACTTATTTTCTTAAATTCGCGACTTATTGTCTTACACAAAGTATTCGATAAATTACGTTTCTTGCACTTTTTCATATTCTTTTGATGGAATAATCAGAAAAGGAAGGTTTAATTTTTTTGACATTTTTTTTATCAATCAAATTTCAGATTATTTTTACCTTAGATTTCTTCTCGATTTATTTGAATTATGATTGAATTTACAAAAATTATGTTTTTTTCAATTTTTTAAATTAAAACAAAAAAATAATTGTTAATTTTGAATGTCTCTTTCCAATAAGATCTTAAATTACTCGCACGATGTTTAATGCAAGAACTTTGATACTTGTTACCTTTTGAGAAAACGCTCCTTAGCCACTGTAACAAAGTTGCTCCAGAAACAGATCCTTAAACGCTGCCATAGGGATATTTCTTGGAAAAAGTTGTTACAAAACTATTTGCGCTGATATGGAAGCTCGATTACTCTCCGGAGTCCGACGAGTTACTTTCAAATACAAGGAGATACTTACTACGCAAGGCTGCAGACTTTTCGATTGTACTTGCAATTGCCGTGTGTTGCAATCGACAATTGGAGACTTGCCGTGTTGCAATGCACTTGTTGCAGATTCGGCGAAGGAGCTGTTAACCGTTTGGTATGCAATAAAGAAACGACGTATTCCTTGAATAATTTTTGATTTTAGAGTATATAAGACCACAGACAATTATTGAACATGAATTAAAAAGAGAAAACAGAAAGATATCGAGTTTCAGTTTCTAAAGTTGAAATATCGTTCACACATTGACAGATGTATTAATAATGAATAATTGACAGGTTTGTTTTTTTCTTTGTTATTTCTCTTATAATGAATTGAATTGTTTAAATGCTGAACTGAAAATCGAACAAAAATAAAAGAAAAAATGTATAATATTGTTAATTAAATGAGAACAAAAAATCTGCGGATTTCAAAGATTTAATATTAAAGCAGTTAAAGATTTTATATACGTCTATTTAAACTGAATTTTTCAAATCTGAGCAAAGTAGATCTGTGCAAAAAATAATCGACATCGTTGAGAATTATAATCTGCAAGATGAAAATGAGTAAAACGAGTTTTGCCTAAATAAAAAGATAAATTTTCTGTGAAAAGTTTAACATCATTTGATTAAGAAAATAATCTGTTCTAGATTGTTAAAAATATTAGATTAGATTACAATATAGTGTACAACGAGATTAGTTCAATAAATACAGGAACTGGAAAGCACAATGCAATGACTATCGTATCACACCGAGATACGCAATCTTGCTTCAATTAACTAACATTAGGTTGTTCGAAAATAAGCTGCGCATTTTTTAATACAAATTCGAAGCAAATTTTACTGGTAATTTTGCAACAATAATTCAAACGTGAAATGATTCGTTCCTAGAATATGTTTAAAGACATTCTCGAAACTTGCAAACATAAAAAGTTTGTTTTCGGTCGATTTATTATCGACAAATGCATCTATCATGTACACTATCTAAGCCACCGTAGAGATAGCGATTGATTGGCCACATTTTCATATTATTCTTCGCTAACTTGGTTCTCGGGATTCTGTCTTACAAGTGGAAGGGACCGCTATGTGTTGCCCTCTATCGTGACAGCGTTCTTCGAGATTGGGGTCAGGATACTGGATTCCTGATCGGAGTTGGGCGGCGTCAGAACCACCTGCGGCGTTATGCCGCCCTCGGCATCGGTGCGATCGGTACCGGCCTCATCGCCGGACTTCACCGTCATCCCGGCGGTATTGTTGACGATGCACTTTTTAAAGTGGGTCCTCATGTTGCTGCTCTGCGAGAACCTGCCGCCGCAATTGGTGCAGGAATACGGCTTGGTGCCGGTGTGGTAGTTGAGGTGGGTCTTCAGGTGATGCTTCTTGGTGAAAGCCTTGGAGCACAGGGTGCACTGGTAGGGCTTCAGGCCGGAGTGCAGTCTGGTGTGCAGGGTCATGTTGGAGCGGTCGGCGAACGCTTTCTGGCAGACCTGGCACTGATACGGTCGCTCGCCGGAATGGGTCCTCAGGTGCTGCTTGAGCAGCATCTTCCGCGAGAACGCCTTTCCGCACTGATCGCACTGGTGCGGCTTCACGCCCGTGTGTATGCGCACGTGCATGTTGTAGGCCACTCGCTGATTGAAGCTCTTCCCGCATTCCGCGCAGCCGTACTCCTTGCGGTTCCGATGGATCTTCATATGCGAGCTCAGGTAGCCGCGGTCGTTGAAGTACTTGCCGCATTCCGGACAAGTGGCGGCGAACTCCCGCGTGCCCTCGTGCACGCTGCGATGGTACTTGTAATTGCGCAGCTGCGAAAACTGCTTGCCGCAGTCGGCGCAGCGGAACGGCTTTTCACCGGAGTGCGTTCGGCTGTGCACCTGTGACGATCACACAGATAGGCGATGTTGTAGCTTAAGCTTATTATTTACAAGGCTACGGGGCCGAAGACGAAGGGCAAAAAGGAGAAAATTGACGCGCGTGGGCCGCGCGCGACTCTTTTGAATCTCGATATGTCGTTTTCTCCTTCGTAATCGGCACAAACGGCGCGTCGACGATGTAACAGGACGGAGTTTGCCGAGTTTGAAAAGGGCCGAAAAACGAAGGAGGGAAAAGTAGGCATATGAAACGGACTTTAGAGACATCAGTATCTCGTTCTTCATATAATCGACGGGACGCACGAGAGTGTGTACACGATCAAGTATGAAGTGCCTGGTTTACGCCAGGCGTGCCATGTAATGTCGTAAGGAAGAACGGCGGTAATTTAACTGACATTAATTCTCAACGTAACTGACACTTAAGCTCTGCGAAATTCCGCGAAATTAGAGACTCGCGGTAGTATCTAGCATCAACAAAAAAAGAAGGAGGAAAAAAAAGCAGACAGGGAGGTTGTAATTTGCGCAGTGACTTATGGAACATCGTGCGTGAGGAACATCGTCAGTGAGAAACGGTCGCGGTTTGATAGGTTTAGGACTTGTGCAACCCAAGGTGATCAAGGCTCTATGCTAAACAGTTAGTTACTCCATGAAAAATCTATCAGGCTAAATCTCTCGCTAATCTTTAGGCTAATCTCCAGGTGAGATCTATAATGTCTACGTATCTGCCATGGGAATGCATGGCCTTTAGAACCGTTAATGTCTGATTTAATGGCTAAGAAAGCATACCTTGAGCGACGCCCTCGTGACGAAAGTCTTTCCGCACTGATCGCACTTGTGATCGTCCGCCGATCGTCCGCGCTGCGCCACCTCCGTGCTCACGATCGTCTCGTTGTTATTGTTATTGTCGCTATTAACGAAAATCCTCGCGAGCCTCTCGTCTCCGCCCTTCTCCGCAGCGTTCGCCACTTCCGTCTTCGACGTCTCCTTCCTCTCCTCGGCCTCGATCGTGTCGCAGAGTCTGCTGACCGGATGCGACAGTTCGGGTTTCGGTGGCGTCTGTGGAACCACCGGCGCGGTGGTCGGATATCCGCCACTTTTGCTGGCATTCGTGATAACGCCGTCGTTGCTCGGGGACACCGATTGCGCGGACGACGCGTTGCCGACGTTCTGAAAGAGGGGTTGTTCATTGCTTCGCGCCGCGTTCGTGGACGGCGCGATCTGATCGGAGGATGCGAAGGGAACTGGCGATCGATAGATCTCTCGGACTTTCGCTTCCGGACTACCGATTATCTCGCGCGATAATCTTGAGTCACTGCTCGTCTCGCGACTGGTAGGAACTTCGAAAGCCGTAGGGCAAGACCCGTCGCTTCGCGGTGCGCTTCTCGGGGAATGAACAATATTCTTCGGGCTCATCGATATCACCGTGGATCGTATTGGTTCCGGAGCCAGAGACTTCTTATGGATTTCCTGCAACAGTCGTCGAAATCATTTTTTTTTATACAGAATTAATCTTTTTTCTTTAAAATAATTAATTTTAAATAATAGTGAGATTAAGGAGGAAAGTGTCTCTTGTCTTAATTGCCAAAACAAATCATTTTATCTTAATTGACCATAAAACAGAATTTTATTCACTTTATTTGTTATATCTTTCTATTATCCTATTTTATATTTAATATATATTTATGTTATAAAATTTTATTTATTATTTACATGATTTATTACTATTCTAATTTTTAAATTTTGCCTTTTTGTTATTTAAAAATAATATTTTAAAAATTTAGATCTTTTTTTAGCAAACTAGAGAATTTATTTCAAAACTCAACATTTTTCAAAATCATTTTTATAATGAAACATTTAGTGTTAATGTTGAATTTTAAAATAAATTCTCTTCTTCTCTTTAAAATAAACATTTAGTGTTTTTAACTAAATGTTTATTTAACACATTTAAATTAACTATTAAAAGTAAAAACTTTGTACATGTAGTTTTCCTAGAGCGCAATTGCATTCTTTGCACGTTCAACGTATCTACGTAAAATCGGACAGCGACAGAAAAACACAACCGATCAAGTCAAACTTATCCACATTCATTAATCTTGAGGAATGGCGTGGCGTATTCGCGTGAAGAATCGAAATCGTCACGGTGCATCGGCTGACGCGTTTCAATGAGCTAGAAAGTGATGTCTAAATTTCAGTGCCGTTTACTGTTTTATGATACTTTTAGTCACGCTCAGTTTTAAGTAGTAATCAACTCCGTATGCTCGTTAACTTAAAATGACGTCGAAATGTCAAGGTATCACGAGTTGCGTGTAGAATTTTCCGTCTTTCTTCATGTTCTGATAATTTGCAACAACATCAATTTCTTCTTAAGTTCACAGAGATTTGCATTTCACAGACGAAAGAGAAGACTTGTAAAAAAAACGTTAGTTTATTATTCATTATTTTAATTTATTTTTTATTTTATTGTTTATGTTGCATTTTCTTATTTTGTTTGTTTTAATACACAGAAGTGACAGAAGTTGTAACTGAATGATGTATTTAAAAAATATGCGCTTTCTTCTTCTAGAAAAGTAACTTTAAACTTCTAATTTTGATTTCACGGAAAGAATCGTCATTTGTTGCAAATTTATTCAAGCATTGAGAAACAATTTCTAAACGCCATGTCCGGCCGACGCGGCATAATCCAACAATCGTATACGTCGATAGTTTCCCATCTCTAATGCTAAATAAAACGTCTATAGCGCAGCAATAGTCGCGCCCAGGAATGCGTCCGCATAATGAGTAGTTGGAAAAATCAGAGAAGAAAGCAGCAATTAGAAAGTAGTTAGATTGTAAAACAATTTAACGCTATCGATTATTTGAATGCAATAGTAATAGCCCAATCGCTCCCGATGTGATAAGGAAGGCGAATTATTAATATGCATATTACTCGCGCTTTAATAATTCGTATTTGCGTTCAACGGAAGCCGAATATAAATCGTTGCAATTAAATTCACGAGATAAAATACGTATCTCGAGATATACCTATCGTAATATTTTTGTGCATTCACTGGATTTTAAGTAACGGCGTGCAGAAAGGACACACGCGGAATTCGTAGCTTTGGATCATAACTTGCATATCGACTTTTTTCTGTTACCTTTTTTGTTACGATCTACATCTTGTTAACTGCTCTTTTTAAATTTCTTTCTAAACAATGTCGATATTTATCACACTAGTTTATGAGAGATGTTTGATATCGAAAGAATTAATGTCACATAGTTCGAATTTAATTTATTAGTAATAACGCGAGTATTTATATGATTATATGACTTTAAAAGTATTATTATTTATAGATAATTAAAACTTGTTGTAGTAAAGTCTAAAACAATAATTATCAAATATGATCAAATAAGACATACAAATTGAATATAAATAAAACAAAATATTTATTAATATACATTTTACTATTGACTTTAAACTTCTGACTAAAACTTCTTTAAGAAGTATAATGAATGACAGCTCCTGTGATAAAAATTTTTAAAAACATTTTGAAATAATATATTATAAAATTTATAATCCTTATTTCTTACTCTCTACTATCTTCATAACACTTAAAAAAATCGAGACGATTAACATACTTTGCTGCAAAATGATAATATTTATCAAGAGACGCGGTAGCGGCTCCCGCCAAGTACTTATATTTTTTCGTTTCATGATTTATAGTGAAAAAGACGCTACAGCGTATCCTTTATTGGACGAATAACACTTTTGTCGAAATAAATTATTATTTCTTTTAATTATATTGATTTTATCGATAAATGCCTATTTTGAGGAAAAATATAGATTTTTTTCAATTACATAATCTTTTTCCGAAAATTAATCTTTTAAATTCAAACAATCCGAATGATCTTAAATTAAGGATTAAAACATTCTATAATATTTCTAGATTAAATGTTTTTTTAATAAAAAATTGAATGGAAACGAATAGGTGCCCTATTGGTTTCCTAAAAAAAATTCCAAAAACCACCTAATTTTTCAGCGTGCTAAACCAAGCTCCCCCCTTAAGTTAATAATTTGCTCGAAGTTTATTCTGGACATTAGACAGAATTACGATAGACGGAAGCAATTTTATCGCTGCGCGCGAAGGAAAATCACAGGTGACGATCGCGTCACGCTGCATTCTTATCCGGCGTTGAAATCTTTGGCAATCGCGGCGCAAGCTGCAGGAACCGCTACTTGCGTAAGCGGACAATCGCGTCGCGGCAGTGCGACGGTCCACGAAATCTGGCACGCATCTCCCGTCTCGTCGAAAGAGAAAACGCTACCAGATCGGGCGCGTATAATAATGACGGACGCGCGCGCGCGCGCGTGCGCGCAGCTGGCATCGCCAGCTGGCGATGCGCAATCACGGCGCGGTGCAGCCTGATAAACAGTCGAAGCGAGCGAGCTAACTGATAGCCGCATTAAGCGGAACGGCATCGAACCCGAGTGAAGGGCGACAACGCAGCTGGAAGCGGCGCCCTGTCACTTGTAAAGATGCGTAATGTACGTGTACAGGGAGCGAATGAGCGAATCAACAAATGGCGAACACGAGTCTTCCGGTGTGTCCGCGTTCGTATGCATGTTCAGCATTTACAGGTTTCAATTAACTCTTAACGCATGATATGTCGCATATAACAGATAATCTTTGTTGGCCGTAGGCTCTTCCTAGCAAGTATGAGAGCTCTGTTCATGACTGTCCATTATATGTTTCGAAATCTGATAGACGATGCTAAAGACAGTCTTTCTTCAATTAATGTCGATTCGGTAAAGACTCGAACTGTCCGCGTGGTTTCCGCGCGATTGGAAGCAACCAGAGGCAAAAAGAGATGTGAGAAAGGAAAGAATTTGTCACGGTAATAAAAAGGATTAATATTATGCAAATCGTAACTTATATATAGTCTTCATACGAGTATTTCCTGCGTTGCGCATATCTTCGTTTATTCATGAGCTCATTTTATCCAACACATAATCTTCTAATAGTGGCTTAAACTAGACAATTTTCATTAGGCAAGTTAATTTGAATTATATATCATCATGATTGCTTCGCGAGCGAATCACGCCGATTCAAATAGAGGATCTACGATAGAAAATAACGCTGTATTTTATGTCTGTATGACACATCCGTTAGAAGATATCGTAAATATATTATATCGTGACTGTATATAAATCGAAACAATCAACATATAATAAAGCATGACACTTAAATTCTAGATTTTTACGATTGCTAATATTAAAAATTTTCTATAAATATTATATAAAGAAATTATTTGCACAATTAATTACAGTAATAAATATTTACATGCATTTGTATGTTCTAAAATCATTAATTAAAAAAAATTCTTTTTGTGTTCTTGAGCTCTTTCTTTGTATATTCTATTAATATAGTATGAAAGTTACATAATAAAACACTAAAAGCTTATTTGCAAATACGCAATAATCATTTCCGTTTGAGGTGTTGAGTTATTAAACATAATAAATTATAATCATTACAATCAATATATTTTCTAAGCTGAAAATGGATTAATAAACAAATGTGAAAATGGAACGAGGGCCAAACAACCATTATGCATTCCTTTGTTAATTAATCGAAATGCAAGAACTGCCAATGTCACTGGATTCGTGACGCGAGGACACGAGGTTTCTATTTAATTAACTCCGCCGTTACAGCGATTTATAGAGACAGGTCGGGATATTGAAACCATTTTCTCTCGTTATCTCACGCGCTATGGCGATGACATATCGAGCGCATCCGCGTCGGTTTAAAGTGCTTCGCTTCTGCCACAGACGCCACAGTAATCAAGGGTGTAACGGTTTATTTTCGTCTTACCATTTTGCGGAAATTGGTTGGTTCAGCGCAAGCCAATCAATCGCGATTAATGGTTCTCGATAAATTTGCTGTTTAAAAATTGAATGCGATTCAATCGAAAAACATGTGGATATATATGCTATATACATGACGTATAAAACTATTTACATAAATGCATTTAGGCAAAGAAATATAAATTAAATTGATTTTTTTAAGTATATATGCTAAATGTCATATTTTATATATATATAGGTCTCGCTTGAAAAGCGTTTCGTTTATTAAATCACGTGCAGGCATGTGAATGGTTCTAACGCGCTTATTTGTCGTTACTATTTATGATAACATAAATCATCGTACGTAAAATATATATGTCCTTCGTGAATACTTAATGAGGTCTTCTTAAATTATTCACAAAACTGTGGTCCGGGTCCGCTTTTTTTTTCGTCACTTGACACGTACCAGTTTTTATCATCGATCGAACGAAAACGCGTTCGTTCGATCGTGCAGTTCAGTGTTATTCACCTTGGCATAGTTCCCATAATGGTGATTCTTTTCGTATACAAATACGTGGGAATACGGGATCCCCTGGCAACGGGATTTCGACAGTCGACCTGTCGGCGAAATCGTATCTGGCATCCTAATCGGGTATGCATAGCCTACGTTCTCCTCTGTTTTCAATGGCCGTTGTAAAGTTTCGTGATTGGAAGTGTCGATTGGAACAAAATCGTCTCCCAACTGTCACGGCGTCATAAAATGTCTTTCAGAAATAACGGAATCAATTCAAAAAGATTGTCAACATTTCGGAATATACACTTTTAAAAAAACAAACTGGATCTCTACGTTGCATACAATTTTTTAATTGTTCTTTATCAAATTGTTTAGAATAGGAGCTTGGAGGGAAAGTAACATAAACATGGAATGTTGTAAAAATTATGTAAGAAAACTTTGGAAAAAGTTTGTGTTTTAGATTTGTGGCACAGTGGTCACATTATAATTGCTCATATTTGCAAGAGTGATTCATAAATAGTTAAGTAAGCGAATATGCGACTTAACTTGTTTCTCCCGTCTTCCACACACATCCTCGGATAAATATACCACTCAGGTCTCAGAATAAATAAAATTTGAAATTAAAATTGATTCGGTCGGACCGATCGATTTTATGTCGATCGATGATCGACGATTTTAAAACGGAACACGTGGGCTAATATTTGCCTAAGTACTCACGTCATCGACGTGACGTTGGGACGCGTGGATGGGCCGCGGGGTCCTTGGTGAATGATGGGGCCTGGCAATCTGGCGCCACGGTGACGCGGTGACGCGATTCGCCACGTGCCTGCGAGCGGTTCTCCACCTACAACAACTTTCGCCGCAGCTAAGATCCTCGCCCGCCGAAGTCTGCGAGGTGTAATCGAGCATCTCGAACGACCTCGTCTGACCGGCAGCGGTGGCGGCGGCGGCGGCGGCGGCACATTGCAAGGACGACAACGGCACCGTGCCCCGGTATGGACACTCGTCCCGCGTCGTTCCGCAAGTCTCTCCCCCTCCCGATCCTCTCGCGAGAACGTCCTCGTTCATCATCGGCTTCTCCGTCGAGCAGCTCATGTGTAGCCTCTCGTATCCCGTCCTGACCTTCTCCAAAGTATCTGGACCGGCGTATCCTTCGGAGGACGATCCTCCGGGGAGACACGCGCCTCGTTGATATATACTGAAGGAGGATTCGCTATTAGGAGCTATCACCGGATTCTTGTCGGCGAGTATCATCGAGCTGTGATTCTTGTCCGCGGAAGGATCGCACGTTGCTCTATCCTGATGCAGGAAACCACCGATTGGCCACGTGCTCGGACAATCAGGACCGAAGGACGGGCCAGGATTGTTCGCTTCGTGAAGCGCTCCGATGTTCCTGAACACATTCCTGTTGACGTCGTCCGTGGGGAATATCCTGATGTAGGACTCCTTCCTCTCAAACGGGTCTTCGTAGCACAATCTTTTCGATCGGTACCAAGGATACTGATCGCACTGCAGGTACTTCGGGCTAACTTTGACGTCTTTGACGTCCTCCAGCTTGCAGTCCGTCGCTTGCTCGCCGCAGGTCGTCACCACCGGCACCGGCGGAAGCCGGATGCGCAGGGCCTCCGCAGCACGTAGAAACGCGTCCAGTCGCATCCGCGGTACCGTAGCACTTCCAGTGTAGACGAAGCCAAGAAGAGCCGCGAGTTCCGGCGCCTCCACCTCGGCCAAGATCACTGTGATCGGTTCGCAGTGAGCGGTAACTTTGCTGTGTGCCAGCAACACTTCCTGTAAATGAAAGTTTGTTTATTGCCAGAGTAAGAGGAAAAGATATTAATTTTAAATTATAATAAATAAATATATATATATACATATTTTAAATAATAAATATATATGTAGGAGAAAATGCATATTTATAAGAATAAAAAAACGTTAGAAAAAATAATCAAATGTTAAGTAATTAGCTATCTATTAGATAATATATTAAACATAAAAGGAGAGTAGAAAAGTTGGTTTGATGGAAATGTACATGGTACGAGTAGTTCTAGCATGACGCCAAAGAGACCAAAGAAACATAGATAAAAGATGACTTGCGGTCGGTCGGTTTCCGTATTGATGAAGATTTCTTTATGACTTAGTAGTGCGCAGTAATAACATGTATCAAGAGCACGCACCGAGTTATGGAAAGGTTAATGCACGCTGGCTGCATATGTGGGCCAAATTTTATTAGTGCTCCCATTTTGTGGAGTGCCCTCATTTTGCAGAAATATATGGATATGTACATATATTTCCTTGGTTATCTGATGTAACGGCAATGACATACAGTAGGGAAACTTAATGAGAAGAAATGTTTTGAGTTTTCTGCGATATCTTTGACATCATAAAACATACAAGAATAAACTCTCTTTCTTTGTTTCTCTTTTTAAACGTAAAAGTGCAATTAGCTTGCGATTAATTAAATAATTCTTCTCATTACATTTTGCTTTTTAAAATTAATTCAAAACTCCTACATTTTCCACAAGAATTATATCGTTAATATCTTGATAAATTTTTAAATTTTGTAAAGAAATCTTGTACAGAATTTTTAATAAAAAAAGACAGCATTATTTATAATTATTTACATATATTAAAATAATACATATAAAAAATGGAAATGAAAAAAAAAAATTCTGACCGATCTATCGATGAATATACAGTTGGATTAATAGAAGAATTGTAAATTTGGACTTATGAACCGTTCAAAGCGCTTTATGCGCTCGTAAATATCGTGCGTTTGATTTACCTCATTCCACTTTCCGTTGTTACTCACGCGGATAATGAAACATGGACAACAATGAATTACGAGCATTTCATTGTTGTAAGCTTGAAGATCGTGCTGCATCGAGATAACTGTAATTACGCGGCCGGCGGCCGCTTCGACGGCTCTTTCCGATTTTTTTAAGGCGATAATTAACCGTTATTGGCTGGTCGTCGAGATCAGGGAACCAACTTGAATTAACTTCTGCCGTTCGCACACAATGTTAATTACGTGAGAATCGCTGTGCACTTTCGTCCTATCATGTATTAATAGAAGATTAATACATTGCATTAACGTGAGATCAGTATAAGATTGTACATGAAACTAAATTATAAACTCTGTCTAAACTCCTCTATTTTCGTAAGATTGATATTGATATGTTGTTATATTAAATATATAAAAAATATAATTCCGCAGCAATTTGTACCGCATTATCCGCGTACTCGTGTTGAAGTATTCAAAATTTCTATAAAAGTTTAATATTTTTTTTTACTTCCGAATTCCATGTTGATATTATGTTTGCCGCGAGGTCTCAGTCTTCAATCATTCTTCTTCGCACCGTTTCGCAACCATTTTAACGGATCGTTGGCGTCGAAAAATGATGGGAGCATCATTCCTGCACGTAGAACGTAAATTAAATGTTGGCTCTCAAACCGGCCCGCGGCTCGCTGCAGCTTTGCTGCACCGTTGCGTTCAGTGGCGTAGGAATGACTTTCAAACCTTTCACAAAAATCTTACCGTAAATCCCGCATTTTATTTTTTACAACATATAATAACAACATCTCTCTCATATATGTAAATACATATATAACATATATAATCTATAATTATTATTTTATTATTATTTTACAATACAAATTTTATAACTTTGGAAGATCTTCAACTATAAGACTTAAAAATAAATGTTATCGTGATAAAAATTCCAATTTATAATTTTTTTTTAATTTAAGATGCTTAACACTTAATACTGCAAAGAAACAACAATCACTATCGAAGTTTTATCCTAGAAGCATCTTTACATTAAAGATACATTTTATACGAAGATCATATATCTCGATGATAATGTGTTTCAAATTTAAAATTACGGCGCATTTCTGATTTTCTTCTACAACGAAAAGGAAGAAGAAATGGGTTTGTGGGTTGCCTGTTCTCATACGCATCTGCGTTTGCATTCTTATTATATACGCAGGTAGCTACACCCCTGTGCCACAAGGCCGCGCCAGCTTTTTAGTTTTCTTCCTCGATGTGCTAGAAGTGCACTCTCGGGCGCAATTACTTAGGGTTAGTATTTGCGCTTATTGCACTTGAATCGTAAACATTTCCGGAAACGTTGCAACGCCTTCAGCCAGAATATGTACTCCATCACGAACGCGCAGGCGAATATATAATCAAATGCAAATACAAAGTAAGCTCCATCTTTCTACCTCTTTTTTTTTTCGTTTTTTGATCGCGGGATAATCAAGGCTAATACATGTGGTTATCAATGCACCTCGTCGATGTAATTAGGGATATATGTGTAATAAGCGCAACATGTTGCCTCTACCTCGTACACATTTTACGAACTTTCGCAGTATTAGAGAGTACGGTACAAAGTAGATGTAGCGTTTGCTAGGTTTCTGCGAGTTTCTTGCGTGCAACCGAGATAATTCACATTATATCTCTATCTGAATTCTAGCTATAATGCATCTGCTAATTGCTAATTGCTAAACCATTTTCATTATAAGTGTGTCAGAAGTGATTATCAAGAAACACGGGTAACGTCTCGGGTCAAGTAAAACGTGCGCGCATAAATCTTCACATAAATCAAAATTTTTATCTGAGTTCACAAAAATTGGAAATAATATTAATCTGAAGTGTTCAACACATTTAGTACCCACGACTTTATCTCTAGTTCCCAGTAAATCGTATATTTCATCACAATACTTTTTGTTTTGACTTTATATTGTTGCATAGATAATTTTCTATGTAAAATGTTAATTTGTAAAGAATTAATTTAAATTAATTAATTCCTGAAGTAATGTAACGCCTTTGTTTCATCCTAAATTCGAGCTACGAGACTTTACACTCTTAACTTTTTTACAATCTTATCCTAGCTTATATTTGCGTGATCAAACGTGATTTTGAATATAACAGTTATTTCGGGTAATTCGGATATTACATTAATTTATAGGTACAAATATACACAAATATCCATATCTGGTATCTATGAGCAATTACAAGATTTTAAACTGTGCGAAAGAAACTTAAACTGTTCTTAGTTTAAGTTTATTTCTATTAACTTACCTATATTATATCGATCCATCATGCACGATACAGCGATTACATGATCGAAGAATCTATCAATTACGATAAATATTACAAATATCTACGGATAATATCTGTGTGACCGGCGAACGATTTATGATGTCAAGCTGTGCAAAAATTTTTAAGCCTGTTTCCCAAAGATTTATAGATCAATCTATTGTACATGAAGCATCGCAGTCCGGGATCTACCAATTAATCAGAATCATAGTGATATTCTGACGAAGCGCGCTTTCCATCCGATGCGATCTATCCTATCTGCACGTTACGAAATTCAGGGTGCGATCGAGAACACCGATTAGATCGTCATAATTACGGTAATCGTGTATCAGTTTTCACGGCGTGAGCGATTGAGTGAATTTTCGCGTTCGATCGGTTTTAGCCTTTCGTGAAAATAACGCGCGAAATTTCGCACCTACCTCGCGTAATTGCGGGTGTTTCGCGATATCCCACGACAGCGTGTTGCGCGGAATTTTTGCAAACGCGAGGCAATCTCGCGCGATTGAACGCACAGGAGGAGCCGATTCTTCAGTTCGCGCGTGACGGACTGACGTGTGAATAGAAGCAGATTAAAAATTTTCGCACAGCTTGAAATCAGTAACCGTTAATATTCACAGATAACAGACACATGGATATTTATAATTATGGATTAAATATCACGAGAGAGATGATGATCGCCTTTTCACAGAGGGAGAAATTTATGGATCAATGATTAAAATGGCTCGAAACTGAAGAACGCGATTTATTAGAAATTTATTTAAAAAAGTTTCTTAACATTAAATTATAATTATAAATTTTTAATTGTAAGTGATTTAACATTAAATTATGATAAGTCTGTACATAACTAGCAATATAAATAAGCCTGTTTGGTTTAAGCGGATCTTGGTGCCTGATAATATTTTTGTGTGAATTTGTATGTACGTATTATCGGCACACAGTTCATATAAACTGCGAATCGATTATTTGTCGATCTTGAAACAGCCCTAAACTGAAATTGGAATCGTGATATCACGAGTTAAATTGACAAGCAATTTAATAATATTGATGCTAATGAGCACCTTAAGTTCCGTAAAGTACTGTGAAGAATTTTCTGTACATCTTTTTTTCCTCTCTAAATCAAATGGCGTAAATGAAGTCTCTCCGGAAAAATCTCTACAATCGTTATGTTCGGACTTCTGGACTCACACCTCACGCGATCTCGCTCACCGGGCGGTTAACGATAACAAGCAGGGGGCGATTGTTATTACGGGAAAAACTCGGGATCTGGGTTTTTAGAATAACATATTTTCCACGCCTCGTTGCTATGTAGACGCGACGCAAATACTATGGTCATCGCAAATATCATGGCCGTGTATCCGCAATGCGGTGTGTAATGGCGAACGAATATCGTTCGGATTTTACGATATCGCTATTCGCGAGAAAGCATCGCGAATAAGCAGCGCCTCATATACATGCACATTCGATCCGCGCGCTCGCAATATTATGCCTAAGACCAATAATTATACGATTCCGACACTGAGAAAATGCCGAGAGCCACGATTTAATCTACCAGTTTGCCGCTTGAAATTATTCGAATCGGCGAACGTAAGCGCTTATCGGCGACGAGAGGAGGGAAGAGGGGGAAGGGATGAGGGAGACGGATCGGTAAGCGTAAATGGAACGGCCGCCTCCGTTTAAGGGCCCATTTCGC